GATACCTGAGATAACAATCTGTGTGACAAAAGAATACTCGCTATAACTAATCTTGAAACCTAAACAAAAAAAAAAAATAAACCGAAAAAATGTTCCTTACAATACTGTCTTCATGAACTTTTCTTACCGTTTAGGCCATTTAAAAAGACAGCAAACATCCGATAAACTACGATTTCTACTCAGATCTTACATGAGAGCCAAACAAAATGGTGGGTTGCTCCTAAGAGAAAAATAGGGGCGACAGCTAAAGACTTGCTTAAGCAAACCGCTGACTGCACAGCGCTGCAGTCACAGATTGATTGAACATCGAACCATGGAAGCATTAAACGAAAAATCTCAAATCGCTAAAGAATATGGTCTACTGCCGGCTGATGCCCGCAGCAATGACTGTGAAATTCTGCTTGTCTCCACCACACGACAAAATCGGCACTGTTCGGTTGCCTGTGAATTCGAGGGTTCTTGTGGCTGGCAGTTCAAACTGCATGGGAGTTTCGTCCATGTTTATTTTTTATTGTTTATTGTTTTGTTTGCCAAAAATTGTACAAATCAAATAAAATTTGATTATTTAAACTCTCATGGCGAGGAAGCCCAAGAGAAGCCACCGGGCTTATAAGGAATGGGCTCCCTCAGTTAGATAATTAGAACAAAATATTATCATAATTACACATGGGAAAATCAATGGTAGAGCTACAGTAAATCTTAAAATAATTATATTAGATAGTCGTACTAATCATAGTTCTAGGCTAAAAAAATCGAAATGACAAAAAGGAAATAAAAGAGCAAAGGAAGAAAAAAATACATAAATACATACATATATATATATATATATTTATATAAATTACTATTTATGATAAGAGGAACGCTTTCAGCTTACAGCAAAAAGGAAGCGGCACTTGTTGCATTTCGAATTTCAAAACTAAGAGAGTTAAGAAATTTAGGACCTTGGAAACTGATGGAGAACTTTCTTATGTTAGTCCTGCATTGTGGTGAATAAAAAAAAGGTGTGGCTTAACTCGTAGTAGATATGACGTCACCGGGCCCTCAGCACAAACCGATGGAATTTGACAACCTTATCTTCCATGTCTGCTGGTAGACGCTGCGCCAAAGTTGTTTTCGCTCGCATTGAAACAGCTTGGCAATGTTTCCAATTGTTGTACCATCCAACAGATCCTTGAACTCTGGATTGGCGCTGAGTTCATTTGCCTGTAATCGGAGCATCATGCTATTAACTGAAAGTCCTGCAAAAAATAAAACAGTACAGAGTTAAAGGACAAGCTATTTACGTGCACATGTTTCCTGTTAACAGTGATTATGTGGACTGTTAATCAGTTAGCGCAAATTGAAAACAAAATATTTTTTATATCGTACCTTCACCAGTCTGCTAAGTGTTGATATAGATTTCGATCTTTTGGTCTGTACTGACCCATGGATACACGTTTGACAGTCATCTTTAGCTCCCCAGTAAACAGCACATGCTGTTGGTTTGCCATCTGCGTACCATTGACTTGGATATTCTATACTCGCGTGCAATTTCCTGATTGTTGTTAACTGCTTCGGCCTCCTCTACTATTTTCAATTCAAAGTTGAGATCGTAGGAATGGTGACGAGTACGGGGCATGATTTTTCTTGGAACTTAGGAAAGCTTTCTAACACTGTGAATGAAGTTTTACAACTAAGAGTTCGACTAGGTGAGACGTGCTTATAAAGCTTAAAACCAATCAATTAGTATTCATAGCTTTAGAAAGTAACACTGTTTCTTAAGAAGGAAGACTATATTTATCAATATTTATTTTAACGATGTGATTTTTTTTGCTTTGTTTTACATGAACTTTGAAAACGCTGTTGTTTTGTAAGTGAAGATGGCAAAAAAGCGCAAAGTTGGGGTTGCATCTTATAACCAAGTATTTATGTGACATTTTCATTTTGTTAACTTAAAAGGATCAAGTTAAAAAATTCAGAGTGCGCCTTATAAGTGGAAAAATATGGTATGTTTAAAATCACGTTTGTGCCATCACCAGAAACATATAACCCTGAAGCGTCTAACTTCCCCTTGTCTGTTTAGAACCTATCCTGGTTGCCAGCGATTTTTCATGCGCGGTTTCTGGTTTTGGTCAAGTCTTATAAGTGACCCGCGTGAAAAGCCTCTGGACCAGAGCGCCATCCCTTTGATAGCGCCTAACCAATTACAACCCCGCTTATACCAAAACATCCAGAATCTGGATGTTTTACTGATTGCTTCCTTGGAGATGTCGACTCCTCGTTCTGTAAACCATTAACCAACACAAGTGCAAAAACCAAGAAAGGCGCACTCCAACTGTTCCTCGTTCTATAAACCACAAACCAACACAAGCGCAAAAACCAAGAAAGGTGCACTCCAAACGTAATATTCCTCGTTCTATAAACCATAAACCAACACCAGTGCAAAGCCACACATTCCTCATTCTATAAACGATATACCAACACAATCGCAAAACCACACATTCCTCAATAAACCATAAACCAACACAAGCGAAAAAAACAAGAAAGGCACACTCCAAATGTAATTTTCCTTCTTCGTTAAATCAAAACATCCCAAAAACCACGGTATGCACGTTCTAAGTTTTATGCTTGTGTTTAAATGTGATGTTCTTGTAAGTCAAACACCAAGACAAGCTCGCTTCAAATGTAAGAACAATCGTCAATGAGTTTATATTTAATATAAGCACGCACAGAATGTAAAGGTAAGATAAGCAAGGACCAAAAATGTAATATTCAAACGTAGTATTTCTTTATACAACCAAGATGAGCATGCTCTATATAAATTTAATGTTCCTTCTCTATACTCAAAAAACAAAAGCAACCGCACTTTAAATGCAAATGTTCTTCGCTTGCTTTTCTTACTATGTTTGCTGCACAAAACAATTGTAATAGTCTTTATAAAACTGCTCCTCGTTCTAATGTCACAAATGAGGGCACGCGGGCTTCAAATGTAACAATCGCCTCGTTTTATATAAGCTGTCAAATTTTTCACAATAAGAACGCAGTACTTTGTATAACTGAGATAAACATGCTCTATATCAATTGAAGTTTCCTCTTTCTATATGCCAAAAACAAAAGCAAGCACACTTTAAATGACTTTTCTATGATAAGACTGTAAGAGCAATCGTCTGCAGTTTATGAAATAGGAATGTTGATGCAAACACATTTAGACAACGAAGTGTAGTCGTCAAATACTACTTAAAAGTAGTCTTATTGGTTAGAGACTTTTATTGTTTTGGTGGCTCCTTAAAGAGCCCTTTTTTGTGTCCTGCAGTGCAGGGTTTTTTCTTCTTTTATGATTTTTCTTGGATTTCCTAGGTTTTTCTTCTGCATCTTGTTGGTGCTGTGATTGCTGTTTCGGTAATCCATTTAAATACAAAAGTTTGTTGTGGTCTAGGGCAAAGTAGAACCATGTTCCTCTCTGCCTCTGGATTATTTAAGACGTAGTCTAGCTGCCATGCCCTCTTCTCCGCTTTATCAGGGGCCCACGTTTGAGAAAGGAGGATCCATGTGGATATCAAGGGCGGGGAGCAACCATTGCCCAAGCAAAACAGCATAAGTTTAAAGGTTTCTCTGTCGCCAATGGGCTTTTTCCAGAACGTCAACCTCAAGGGAAGAGGGCGTCTCCATTGATGATGCCAAAGAGTTCTCTTCTTTCTGCAATTACTTCTGCCTTTGACAGGTATACAAAGCACATGAACAGATGGCAGTTTCTTTTCCTTATGCTGTACCTTGTAGACCAATACAATGAGGACATCGCTAATAATAAGTAGTGGTGACTGAAAAGGTCAACCATTTTGTTTTCTCACAACGCAATATCATAATAAAGTACTTATTGTAAATAATTCCAAATAGGCTCATGGCTCGTGTACGACGACCTGACTGACGTCATTAATAACGTAATAGCAAATGGCTAGCAGCAAAAGGAACAGTAGAGGAACAGTAGGGGAACAGTAGGAACAGTAGGATCAGACGAACAGTAGGATCAGAGTAACAGTAGGAATTAAGTAGGAACAGAGGAACAGTTGGATCAGAGGAACGGAGGAACAGTAGGAACACAGGAACAGTAGGAACAGTGAAAACAGAGGAACAGTACAGTAGGAACAGAGCAACAGTAGGAACAGAGCAACAGTAGGATCAGAGGAACAGTAGGAACAGTAGGAGCAGTAGGAACAGAGGAACATTAGGAACAGTAGGAACAGTAGGAACGTAGGAACAGTAGGAACAGTAGGAACAGTAGGAACAGTAGGAACGTAGGAACAGAGGAACAGTAGGAACAGAGGAACAGTAGGAACAGAGGAACGGTAGGAACAGAGGAACAGTAGGAACAGAGGAACAGTAGGAACAGTAGGAACAGAGGAACAGTATAGGAACAGTAGGAACAGTAGGAACAGTAGGGAGACTAGTAACAGAGAAACAGTAGGAACAGAGGAACATTAGGAACAGTAGGAACAGAGGAACAGTAGGAACGGTACGAACGGAGGAACAGTAGTAACAGAGGAACAGTAGGAACAGTAGGAACAGTAGGAACAGTAGGAACGTAGGAACAGTAGGAACAGTAGGGAGAGTAGGAACAGCGGAACAGTAGGAACAGTAGGAACAGTAGGAACGTAGGAACAGTAGGAACAGTAGGAACAGAGGAACAGTAGGAACAGAGGAACAGTTGGATCAGAGGAACGGAGGAACAGTAGGAACAGTAGGAACGTAGGAACAGTAGGAACAGTAGGAGCAGTAAGATCAGAGGAACAGTAGGAACAGTAGGAACAGTAGGAACGTAGGAACAGTAGGAACAGTAGGAACGGAGCAACAGTAGGAACAGTAGGAACAGTAGGAACAGAGCAACAGTAGGAACAGAGGAACAGTAGGAACAGTGAAAACAGAGGAACAGTAGGAACAGAGCAACAGTAGGATCAGAGGAACAGTAGGAACAGTAGGAGCAGTAAGATCAGAGGAACAGTAGGAACAGTAGGAACAGTAGGAACGTAGGAACAGTAGGAACAGTAGGAACAGTAAGATCAGAGGAACAGTAGGAACAGTAGGAACAGTAGGAACAGTAGGGAGAGTAGGAACAGAGGAACAGTAGGAACGGAGGAACAGTAGGAACAGAGGAACAGTAGGAACAGTGGAAACAGAGGAAGAGTATAAACAGTAGGAACAGAGGAACAGTAGAAACAGTAGGAACAGAGGAACAGAAGGAACAGAGGAACAGTAAGATCAGAGAAACAGTAAGAACAGTAGGAAATGCGGCTAACAAACGCGATTTAAAGTGTACAACTTTAACGAGCGGAATATTTTTGTATTTTTATTGTTAAGATGCATTAAATAAACTTATTATTTAAAAACTTATTACTATCATTTTAATACGGCGTTATTTCTCTTTATAATCCCTCAAATATTTTTCGCTTGCGTGTGAATGGTCAAAATACGTCACACTATGTAGTCCTATATGCCCCAATTAAAATTTGGGAAATCCCCAGTGTTCAAACAAGATTCGCCGTTGGGTGTAAGAACGTTTTGCTGTCTTAACAGCCGAAACACACTAAAACGTCAATATCCCACGTTCAAAATATTTTGACCGCGATAAGCTTTTCGTGACAAGATTGAAAATAAGGTGGTTGCGGCCTTCGCTTGGTTTTGTGACATGTTTGCAAAAGTTGATTTTAGAATTTAACTTTTTGTTCATGACGAAAAGCTAAAATATTACCGCAGTGAAAAGTAAAAGCAAGAAACATTACGATTTCTATCGGCTTCGTGAAAAGACTAAAAGCCATAAAAGGCCATTATGTAACTTTCACAACCAGCGCGCGCTTTTTTAGCAAAAATGTTTGAAGGATTGAAGCACAAAAACTTTAATTTATTTGGCTTCAAAAATATGCAGCTATAATTATCCTTGGACATTATTAGATAAAGGAACCAATTTCAAAAGCATTCATTTCAAATATGAGTGTGAAATTTTTGACATTTCTCTTGTATTATTGATTATCCAGATAAATTTCAGAATAGTTCGATTCTCTTTTCAGAATGTACTCTATGAATTAGTCTTAACACGCAGTGCATTTTTACTCTTGATATAAGCATGTTTATAATCTCACGCTATCCAACCCTGAATAAAATAAACACCGGCATCGCCAACAGTAAAACATTAACAATTATAACTAAGTCGCGTTTTTTAGCAAAATATCTTCTCCTAGTAACACAGTACAGTCTAATAAAAAAATCCCATACATTTCCTGTAATTTTTGCCGTGTTTGCCCCAACTAATATGAAACAGAAACCGTGTAAGGGTCTATAATTAACATGCAACTGAACTTGGAAAAAATATTAAAATTCGCGTTTGTGCAAAATGTTATCAAACCTATGCTAAAAAAATCTAGCAAACAAGGGTTTTCCTTGTATAAATATAAAATTACAAGCCCGGATTGAAGCAATATCAAGGGGGGGGGGCGGGGGGAGAAGGAGGGGGTATGGGTGGTGATTTTGACATTTTCCTAGATGTTAAAGTTCCACTCCCGGGACAACACGATTGCTCATTATCATAATATCAAAGTTCATCACCCTGGGGCAAGTGCAGGTGATCAAATATCCCCAAAAAATTATGCTAAAACTCTAACAGTGGATATTCAGGCCATGCCAATAAAACCCCTACCCCTTGAGATTGATAGATGCATTGCATGTTCTCGCTGAAATTAAAGTCGTGATTGTACCGATTATCACCACTGATCAGTCTTCTTCCGCTGAAATGGTATAAACCCTTTCGAGATCCACCTTGTCACCTTTTCACCTCTCTTTGAATTGGTTACTGTAGTTTCCAAGAATAACACCATAGTTTCCGACCTCGTTAACGTTGCAACGGAAGGCCCTTATAAAACACAGTGGTTCTATCCACGACCAGAACCTTTCCGAGACCTATGGATTTAGGGTCTGCCTTCTTGCTTACCGCGCCGGTTTCCATTATTCCACTACATGTCAATAAAACCCCTACCCCTTGCCCCCCTCCCCCCCCCCACCCCTCCCTTGGGCTTAAGATTGATTGATAGGTGCGTTGCATGTTCTCGCTAAAATTAAAGTCGTGATTGTACCCATTATCATCAGTGATCAGTCTTCTTCTGATGTAATGGCATAAACCCTTTCGAGATCCACCTTGTCAGGGGACATATTAAGCATTCTATTAAAAAGATCCCTTGAAACGATAGTATGGGCTGCCCTCTCTTTGAATTGGTTACTGTAGTTTCCAAGAATAACACCATAGTTTCCGAGGACCTCCTCGTCAACGTTGCGGAAGGCTCTTATAAAACACAGTGGTTCTATCCACGACAATAACCTTTCCGAGACCATCTCTCTCTAGATTTTGCATTATCTCAACAATAGTGACTGCCGCTGGACGAATATGTCCACTTATCGAGGATTGTGCTAACCGCACGGTCGAGAAAGGACCAGGGCAGGTTAGTACTCTACTTGCTATGGATTTAGGGTCTGCCTTCTTGCTTACCGCGCCGGTTTCCATGTTTCAAGCTGCAACTGAGTAAAGTTAAAGACATCAATATAAAATCTTATAATGTACACCTTAAAATACAATGACACTATCAGACGAAAAACTTAACGGTTTTTTGTCGTAAACTTTGCAATTGATCAAATGCACAGTTCTCTGAATTTCGAATAACGTTTTCCGTAAGTAGCGACCACCCGATAATTACAAACGTTTTGGTATCTCTCAATTGATTTCTCGGATGGACATAATTTATCAGAATCAGGAAAGTAATATCTCACGTCATGGCGTTGTTTTAGAGTTGCATATTGTTGCATATTGTAAACAGATTTGACTACCTCAGCGGAGAATGATAGAACCCTTTCTGACTTGAACATCTTCTAAGGAAAGTGACGACATAGCTTCTTTCAGAATACTTAAAGGAAATATGAAATAGCCCTCCAGCCAATCAGTGTGTGCATCGGATTTTAATTAAAGCTCATATAAAGTATGAATTCGTTGGATGCATCATGTAAAGTATTTTCCATTACCTGATCGAGCACTTTTCGCTGTTCTGCGAAATAGTGTGCTAAGGCGATGGCTTGCTTCAACGTCGCTTTGTTGACGACATTAGCTGGCGGTGATGCTGGAAGGCTTTCTAACCTCTTCTTCAGCTGATCATAGAACAAATGCAGCACCGCCGCCAGTCTCAACACGTGTCGATCATCTTTGGAGACGTCTTCACTTTCGCTGTTATCACTCCACTGCTTGTTCAGCTGCTCCGCTATCTTGTCCAAAAATTCCTCAAAAGCTGTGTTTCCGTCCACATCCAACGATAATGTGAGGACGTCATTTTCATCGTGACAAAAAAAGTGTAGATGCCTTCATAAACCGATCTAGGAAAGAAAAATACAATGAATCAGTCGTGTGTTTAAGTTACGAAAAAAACTTTATTGTATATATATATATTGCTTTTATATAATTATACATTGCGTAAGCTGTACATCTAAATGAAAATGATTGATCGATGTGTATCAAGTATTATTAGCATATTATGGTAAAGCGCATAGAACAGGTCTGTAGGCGATATATAAATTATTATTATTATTATGAAGGACGTCTCCTCGGCCAAAATTTGTGGCTTCGATTGGTCCAGAGATTGCAGAGATCGACGACGCTATCGTGAAAATCGCACATGGTTTTATCACTGCCGAATGTATCTTGGGAGACGAATAATTGTTGCAAAAACAAAGCCTCGTTTTTGTGAAAAACTCAAAGTAGGCTTCTTGTTGCCAACCCCGCCGCATCTTTCGAGATTTGTTTCAGTGCTCTCTTCGTTATGCAAATTTTAGAGAAAAACTGTCAACGACATTGGAAAGAGTATCGCACATCCAATCCTTTCATTGATGTTTGTTTTTAGTTTCAACTAGAAAATTCGCTGAACATGAGCCAATGAAAGTTTTTAAGTGCAAATTTCACCTGCTTGATTTTAAAGTGGTCCTTTTGAAATATTGCTAAAAAAAAACATACAACACTGCCGGAATAAATTGCTGATTTAGTTAGGAATAAGTTTATTTAACTAAAACATAGTTTGAAAACCATTTAAAATAATCAGTGCGCTGTAAAAACTTAAAACATATCAGTTATAAAATAGCCGAGATTCTCGCCTATCTTACTTGTGAAAAAGAGTCATGCGACGAGAGGCTCCTCCAGGGGTCTTGGATACACCAACGGACTTCTAGAATTCGTGTTAAATTTAATCCTTCATTGTGATTCATTATGAAATATCGACCATTGACAAATTTAAGTATGGCTGTGCCCTGATTTGCTTAGAAGAAAACAGTCATCACTCGTTTTGTTTCCATTTAATTATCGAAAAGCTTACCTCAAATCTTTGACATGTGATTGGTGTAATTGAGTTATAAAACGTTTGGTCTCTGTGGCAGTGAGTCGCTTTGGCTTGGGCTGATAAATCAGCATCCTGTCCACGGCCCGTCTCTTCGCTCTTTCAATCTTGCGTAGATTGGATAGAATCGTTCCGGCTGGCTGTAGCCTACAATCGACACTCCAGGATTTTGAATGGTCTATGTTGAACAGAACAAATTCTACAGTCAGTGTAAACACCTATGTTAGTCTGAAGCCGAGCGTCATTGAGCCATACTGGCAGTGGTGAATAACTAAATGTTAAGTATTTTGCATTTATCACAAAAATGAATACATACGTTATAACGTTAAAGTTTAAACGTTAAGAAGTTTGCATATATAACTTTTAAACTGTAAAGTTCTAACGTATCTATTAATCTTCGTTAGCCGCCTTACACGTTATGTATGTCAAACCAAAACATCGGGCGAAGAATATTGTATTCTATTTTTGGTTTTTATTCTGTTTTCGTGTCTCTTTTCCTCTGCCGTAAGGGACAGTTTTCCGTTCAAGTTTTATTGTGTCAGTAAAGCTGATAGCAAGTTCTCGTTTTCTCTCAGCATTGCAACGGAATTGTACAACGATCGGGTGGTACCAAGCACAAGCACAATCTCGCGCCTCTATGAGGAGTGAGGAAGCAGTGAGGTTACTCTTATAAATTTTGGATTGGGGTGTATCACTCTCTTCCAGCAACCCCAGTTATAGTTCTTCTCGGTCCTCGCAATACAGAGCCTATTCCACAACGAAACATATGTCTAAACCCTTTTGTCAGACAAGGTATTGTGATCTCCTTTACTGATCACTTGGGTTTTCCCCTTCAGTTGATGCGTGCGTTTCCTAAAAGTTTCTTCCATACCCTACGACCAATAATTAAAAACTACCAAATTCAAGTAAATACCGTAGTGATTTGCTTGGACAAAATAGAGAAAATAGTATTCAGTATTTTGTTTAAAAATTCGGGAACGTCACCTCACGGGCATCTACAGCAACTTGTATCCCTATAGCATACCTGTCGTGCAGATTTGTCTGCTTTCGTATAGACCCATGTCGCTCCGTCATAAAAGCTGTATCAGGCGTTCTACGTCAAGTCTACTCTTTTCCTTCACCCCCATTATCTGCTCGAAGAATTGGGATACCTCTTCTTTCCCAACAATTGCCTTATGCCCCAGGCTTGACTTCAGCTGCCTAAAAGGCCGGCTTCGGTAAACTCGTCAACAAATAGAGTGGTCGACTTTACTTCTTCCACGTGTGGCGGACAGGCTGGGAACAGCCATTTTGAAAAGCCGGGATTTTCCAGATCCGGGCGGTGAGAGGCAAAGCACAAACAAATTTACGTTCTCGTGGCGTAATTTGCATTCTACCTTTATGTTGGTTGTCCCCAGTAAGCAAGCAACCGTGGGCAGAATGCTCCCCAGCAAAATATCTCTCGTTGTATTGTTAGCTTTTGCGTATACATCGAGCCATTCCGCCACGCTTGGGGGAGCAATCTTATCCCATGGTAGGGGCATGTCCGTTGCAGATTTTCGTACTTGGGCGGCCAAGGAAGAAACATCAGAGACGCGTTTCTTCTTGGACGCTGGGGGATACGCTGTAGCCATGATTACAACTGAAAAGAAGAAATATTTTAATGAGACAAATTAATAACTCGAGTTCTATTGAGTTCGGCAATCGACAATCGAACGGCGAACTTTCTGTGAGTTCGATTTCCGAACCAATGGAACTAATCGAATACAATCGAACTCAATCCACCCGGATTTAATTCGATTGTTTTCGATTTTCGAACTCATTCGAATAAAATCCATGTGATGTTCGACTGCCGGTTCAGTTATTGAACGCAACAAATAAGGAGCTAGACTTCCATTACTAGCTTTGCCAAAAATCGAGAAAAAATCGAGACTGCGAGACTCACAGAACTGCTAAAAAAACGAGACAGCGAGACCCATTAAATTCAGCTAAAATTTTGCGAGACTCTTATTTTTGAAAGACCATTCTCCACCTATGTAGAGAAGTCACAATAGTCAAAATTTGGCGAGATTGAACCAAATAGCAAACAGTATCATCGGTTTGAGGTTTCCTCCGATTTGAAGGCAATTATGTGAATAACGAAAATTACTGATTGCAGGAGCAATGTCACGGTATTCTACTTTGACAAGCCAAAATCATATCTGTGTCAATGGAAACCTAAAAATAATTGTCCAGTTTTATTAACAATTCCGATACTAGTGCAATGAAACTATAAAGAAGTGTCTTTGGCTGCTTGAAAACTGATTGGCAAGTTTTTTCGAGATCTTCCCTAGTGTTGAAAAAATAGTATAAAACGGCTAAATATGGCTTTTTCTCCCTTCGCGGAATCACTTGATATTTCCCCCTCGGTATTCCAGGAGCATTTTGTGTGGGAGAAAAGTTACTTTTAGTCTAATATTGGAGACCGCGTGAGATCCGAAAAATGTGGCACATGCTTCGGAAAATTCCCTACCGTCATATTCAGTTCAGAGATACCCTATGGAAAGTCAGTTAATGTGGTAGAATTTTTTGTGTGCAAATCTATTTTTGATTTCAAGAAAATTCTAAAAACCTGTAACGGACCCCCATCGCCATGAAATGGTTGAAATGAAAGCGATGAATGTGAGTACAAGAACTGATCTCGTTAAAAGCGCACAGGGCAGCAAGGTTTTCCCAAATTTGAGCAATTGTCTAGGAGGCATTTACAAATGATTTGAGCTAATAACAGGTTTGGTACTTATTTTGGAGCAGTTTTTCAAGTAATATTTTTCCTTGCGGTATAACTCAGAATCACTTTAAATTGCGGTTTTGGAAACGTGGATATAGTGCTCTTTTCAAGGAAACTAAAGAACGTTTGGGCCTCTTAACTACTGCAAAGAAAAAGCCCGTGTCATTTCGAGAAATACGATGGTTCCAGAAAGTGCCTTCGGCAACATTTAGTGATTGCGTGATTTGATAAATCCTGCTCGAGCGAAGATGGCCATTTGAAACGAAAATAGGCATAAAACCAACCTTCAACCACTGGCTATGCAAGGTAATCTCGTTACACTATGTCGCTGGTCTAGTATGGTGTAAAGCAATAACTTTTCGTCGGAATTTTGGCTTCAACAACAGCAAGCGTAATTCGATTATTTGCGGTTGTTGACAAGTCGATGTTGTGATTTCCTCGAAATGACACGAGCTTTTTCTTTGCAGTAGTTAAGAGGCCCAAACGTTGTTTAGTTTCCTTAAAAAGAGCACTATATCCACGTTTCCAAAACCGCAATTTAAAGCGATTCTGAATTATACCGCGTAGGGAAAATATTTCTTGAAAAACTGCTCCAAAATGCAATTTTTAAATAATGAAATATGAGCGATTTTCAAACACTCACCGTTAATTCAGAAATGTAACTACAAAACCTGTTCTTAGCTGAAATCATTTGTTAATGCATGCCTCCTATACAATTGTTCAAATTTGGGAAAGCCTTGCTTCCCTGTGCGCTTTTAACGAGAACCTGTATTGTGCTCATATTCGGCGCTTTTATTTCGGCTATTTCATGGCGATGGGGGGCCGTTAGAGTTTTTGAGATTTTCTAGAAATGAAAAATAGATTTGAGCAAAAAAATGCCACCACGATTATTGACTCACCATGGGCTATCTTTGAGCTGAACATGAGGTTAGGGGACATTTTCCATCATGTGCCACCTCTTACGCCGTCCCGGGAAAAAGGCTCTCTTAATAGTTTTGGGCAAAAACAGCAAAATCACCGTGACATTGCTCCTTTAAATATATCTTGTTTTAACATTGATCAATATCAAGAAGGTCTTACCTTATGGTCTAGTCTCTTTGTTTCAGAATGTTAGACAACACTGAAGTTGCTTGTAAACGACTGATGATGAGCGAACGATGCAAGCTTGGACTGCTCAAAGTGAGACGAATATTGCGGCTGCAACTTTTTTTAATGACTTCACGGCATTGTTTATTGTTCATTGTTCGTTTAAGAAGGTGTGCCAGACACCGTGATATCAAATCACCTTCCAATGGAAATTCAACATTTATATACTTTCATTATACTGATTCAGTCGCTCTGCAGAAAAAAATTCCTTGAGTTGTAGTCCTTGCTGTTTTAGCGGCGATCAAGGTATAAATCGAACATTCTTCATTTGCCGCAAATGGGTGACTAGAGTGGCTATCGGTCAACCCGGGGGTAGACTGTGTTATCGGACAATGCTGGCATTGTAGTCGTGTCTCATGTTTACAATTTCTCACCGTCTCACTAAATAAATGTGTGGGAGAGAAAACATGTTTCCGGACAGGCGGTATGTTATTCCTTGAGATCCCTGAGGCTCGCAGCTTAAACCAAAACTCTGACCAAAACTATCGCGTCTATCTTTTTTGGCGAGGGTCGAGGTTAAACGTTTTCGCATACAAATTACCAATAACCGAAAAAAAGGGTTTTTTTGTAACATCGAGGAGAGTGGAATGTAAAGGCCCAGGTGTGAGGATAATTGTATTTTCTAGTAAATCCCATTACATGTCCTGCAACCTTTGAATTCGGGATAATATTTCTCAGTGTGATCTGTGACCGGATCAGGTTATAGGGTTAACTATACGTGAGTTCACATGCAGCAATGGGAAAAATACAGTAAGAACGAGAGCGCATTTGTCGCTTCTGCAAAACATAATGTTGTCTTCGCCTGACTGTTAAAGAGTGTTAGTACAGTTTCAGTTTTTAAAGTGTATGCGCGTCCCTGTGATTTTGACCTCTCTCACGACCGTTGGGGGCCTTGGGCCCGAGGTCAAAATTACTCTCTCACGTAGGGTGGTAGAGGCGATTTATGTTCAGTCCTTACCCCATCCCCACTAAAGCGTATCAAATAGCTCCTTTGTTTCGATAAACCAATAAAGGTGCAAGGTAAAAAAAATGTTTCTCGATTATCACACCTTTTAAGTTTCTTCATTTAGACAATACATACATGCTAATTGACGTTTCAAGTTTCAGTTAGCAACGAGGCAAGTGATACATTTTAAACTAAGTTCTCTTGCGGATCGACAAATAGTCGCGTGATAGGTCAAGATAAGTGCTGTTTCGAGCTGTTACACTAATCGTCTATCGGATCTTAAGAGTTACTTCATAGCGGTAAGTTATCAAACTGTTAGTATTTCATGGTTGCCACACATTTATTTTCTCCTAAACTTTACTTTTGAGTTCTCTTCTTTATAATTATTGTTTACTTCTTTTCAGAACGTTTCAGCAGTATCGGAAGAACCGTAAAATTACAGTAACCCATGCCAGAAGTAAAGCAAACAGAATAAGGTATAGTCTGCGAATACACTGAGTCGCCTCTTTGATTTTTATTCTTTAACTTTAAAGTACAGTATATTTCTCGTAGTTACGCTCTCTTTTCGACTTAAAGATTCCAACATGAAACTTTGAAAACAAACGAGATGAGCTCATTTTATTCCAAACGTTGTTATTTATCATGTTTTCGCAGTATGGTTTTACGGATTTTGGGGAAATGTTTGGCGCGCACTTTAATAAGTTTGTTTTAAAATAATGAAGTAACTTGACAAAGATATTTTGAAACGATTAGTTTAGAAAGAAACTGTTCTGCCGCTTGGGTGGGCAACTATTCGCGATTTCCCCACTATCTGAACGCCTGGAACAGGCTATTGTTAACTTGATACATATATACACATGCGATTTGCATCGCGGCGATTCGATGCAATTTTGTGTCGCTCAAGTCGCATCCTCAAATCGTGATGCAAATTTGCGGCGATTTTTCATAAAAAAGTAACAAAAATTACGTATCAGGGGGACCCACGGGAGGTTTGGTTTACGCCGGGTTACAAACAGGGATAATTACTCGGTAAAAACGTTCAAAAGTATCCAAAACCTGGACTTACAATAATACGATTTAATATAATGTGATTTATAAGAAATGTTATAAAAAATTTCAAGCCACAGTAAGGTAAAAAGTGTGATTGAATGCCAAAAACGTAAGCTTATTGTGTTTACAACCTCTTAAATAACGACAATAATAGTATTTCTTCGTTACAGGCAGGATGGATGTTCTTTTAAGAAAATCACACTGCATTCTACTTCTATGCATGGTGGTGATATTCTTATCAAGGGTAACTAATGGTAATCCGTTATCCCCAACCTGGTAAAAGCCATAGCAAAAATGATAGAGCGATACGAGAAAGGAGAGCTAACAACAGCAACCGTCATTCATTACCATCATGAAATTGGGGACCAAGCCATTAGAGAAACCCTGTTTCTTCCTGGGGTCATTATCTGGGATCCGTTATTTCAGCATTTTCGTGGAAACTTACCTTGTCCAGAGTGTGGTGAAGATCTGAAACCTAGATGCTGGAAAGATGGAAAGGATTGGAAACACAACAGTCCTAGGCAGCTTGCAGATATAGAATGCCCTGTTCTGCTGGTAAGTAGGGTATATGCATGCAAAAATGATCATCGGACAATCGGTCATGACCCTAAAATTCTGAAAAAGTTTGGACAGGTAGAACTGATCCCTTTCCTTCTTTTGCACAAAAATGGGATTACTCGACGTTTATACAGATTAATAATCGTTCATGCTGCGTCAGGAATGAGGTACATGGACGTGGGAAGCACTTTTAGCACAGATGTGGCATAGTTATCACGCCGAGGCAAGCATTAGGACCTTAACACTGTTACGTATGAGAATTTCAGAGGATAGACCATCAATCAACGTGAGTCACACGACAATGCCGCAGATTTCACAGTTAAACCCTAACAGAAAACTGATTCGCCAATGCTTTGTTCATGACTATTGCACGAAAGAAAAACTTTACAATGCACGCATGTCATCGTTCACAGGTGGTTGGCTCTCTTCTGACCACACATTCAAGGTCGCTGGGAATGTCGGATTATGGCAAAATGGCCATTGGATTCGCCAGTTCGACTCTTTGTTTTCTGTCATGAATGAGGATGGAATTGTCATCGCGTGGCAATTAACGAGAGGCACTGGTTTTGCCAGGGTGAAGACCCTACTCATGGGAATTCGGAACAGGCTACAAAATAGCGGAGTTACCTTGCAGGGATTTTCCATTGACAACTGCTGCGCCTGGAGATTACTCCTTCAAGCAGTATTTGGAGTTATTCCAATTAAACTTGATCTCTTTCATGCAGTGCAATGCATCGCTAGTAAAATTAAAAAAAAACACCCATTAAGAAGACAATGCCTTGCTGCATTTCGTTTAGTCTTTCGGAAGTCGGGCGATATCGAAAAAGAACGTAAGAAGCCAACGCCTTCTCGCGAAGTGATGTTGACAAATTTAAATAGGTTTCTGGAAAATTGGGAAAATGTTGAACTTGCAGGGGAAAAGGTACTTTCACAGCATGTCCACAACCAATTGGACAAGTTAAGAAAACATATTAAGAAAGGTTGCTTGGAAGATATTCCTCCTAAAGCAGGAACAAGCAGACAGGAAGCAATGCACAAAAGCCTCCGAAAAAGCGTGAAAAAAAGGAGAGTTGGCGTTAAAGTAGCTGTGGCAAGCATAGGAACGTGCCTATACAGATGGAACGAAAGACGGTTTTCGGACAAGGTTGGATCGTGCCATTCACAAGTTCCGGTCCCAGTCACCCACTACCAGGACTTGTCAGTCAGTCAGGAAGAAGTATTTGGTACTGGAATGATTCAAAATGGAAGCGGTTTTAGCGATGATGACTCGGAAGATGGCACTGACGTCGATGCCTGTGAAAATGAGTCAACGGGTAGCAGTAGTGAGGACGGGGACTATGGGATTGATGACAACGATAATGTGAGGATCAGCGAGGAAGACGCGTATCATCGAGTTTTAGAGTATGCCCTGTACATGAAGAGCCTGGCTCACGATTTGCAAGCGAAATGCGATGCACCCACGATGAAAGTTAATCTGACACAGTTCGTAGGGCGCAGCCTTCTATTATTCTCATCGCATGCAAGTTCCTCCAGACCAGACGCAGGAAAATGCAGGAGAGGTTAACCAGCATTTTAAATGCATTTGGCTTTGAACAGTTGTCGATGCCAGGGGATGGAGACTGTTTTCTACATTGCATCTCTTTCAGTTTGAGCTCTCTTCTTACTAGAGATAACTCCAACTTAGCCACTTACTTGAAATCAATCGGTATCAGCATAGAGATACCTGACAAGGACAAAATCAACGTTCTTAGGCGGTTGATTGTGCAAGAATTTATGGGGCCTAATCGGCATGTTTACGAGCCATTTCTGATAACAAGCACCACTGATTCATATGACGCAGAAGCTCAAAAGTTCCTTGAGTCGGGCCATTATGATTCTGAATTAGGAAACTGTGTTCCACTGGCGATGAGCAATATCCTTCAAGTACCCTGGTTATTTTTACCTCCATGGAAAATTATCCCATCACTCACGTAATTCCCAGAACACGAGTGCTATCTGAAGTTCCGATATACCTTGCTTTTAGTCATAGTGATAGCGGCCACTACGACTTGGCAGTTGAAGGCAATCGCACAGAGTCGAATTCAACTGTAACTGAAACAACCGACAAGGAGCCAGACACACAAATGCCAGTTGAGGTAGATCTCCCCACTCAAAATCAAACGGGGATGTTCGTGTGGTCGCGAGCCGCCAGGAAGACAGCGAAAAAGTGAATTCTGCAAACACTATAAATCACGCTGTCCGTGTTTTCGTGCCTTCTGAAGCTGCAATGTTAACTGTTCCTGTCGTTCGTGCGTGAATCCGTTTGGTCGCAAAGCTAATGAAAAAGGCATCTTTGATCCGCCACCACGAAAGCGACAAAAACAAGACCTTCAACAAGACGTCAAGCAAACAGACAAAGGCTATATGGAAACGAAAGCGGAAGAGCCCATTGCTACAACTTGGTTGGAAGACGAACTGTACGTCATTGAAGCACTGATCTTGTACTTGTTAGTTACAAGCCAAGATATCACTCCGAACAGAATCTTTGCAGACTATCACAAGATAGTAGAATTCTGCTCTGCCGAAGATATAAGTTTTCAACGTGTTTTTTGTCTACGTCGTAAATCCGCGTCAGCAATAACCAAGAAACTACAAGACATAAAGAACAAATTAAAAGTTGACGAGGAATTCTTCAAAAAGCAAATCCAGTACAACTGGTTTTTTGACTAAATCGTATTTGCGCTAAGAGATAACAGAATGATGTATTTTACTTGACAGGCAATCTCGTACTCAAGGCCTCATTCCCATTGGTCATTGAAATAAGTTTTTTCTGAGTTTTTCAGCCATTGCTGGATTTCACGGCGCACCAATTCCTGCTGCACGGAAGCAGTTTAAAAAATGAGAGCCAATCAAATGTGGACAAACTTGTTTGGTATTCTGGCTGATTCCTGATTAAAGAAAACATGGAATAGACGGTGATGGTGTTACGTTGGGACCTATTCCGTTCAGTTCTCGGATTTAAAAGAATACTGTTTACCCGAAATAAGGAAAATAGTGTCAAAATTTTATATTATTTTTTATTAAAATAGTCATAAATTCTTGTTTTCTTGGTGCAGAAAAAGAAAAAGAAAAGCGACTCTTGGAACGAAATCATTACTTTAGACTGTACTGTATTACTACGAGAAGATATTTTGCTAAAAACGCGACTTAGTTATAATTGTTAATGTTTTAATGTTGGCGATGCCGGTGTTTATTTTATTCAGGATTGGATAGCGTGAGATTACAAACATGCTTATATAAAGAGTAAAAATGCACTGCGTGTTAAGACTAATTCATAGAGTACATTCTGAAAAGAGAATCGAACTATTCTGAAATTTATCTGGATAATCAATAATACAAGAGAAATGTCAAAAATTTCACACTCATATTTGAAATGAATGCTTTTGAAATTGATTACTTTATCTAATAATGTCCAAGGATAATTATACTTGCATATTTTTGAAGCCAAATAAATTAAAGTTTATTGTGCTTCAATCCTTCAAACATTTTCGCTTAAAAGCCACAAGGCTTTTTTGTGAAAGTTACATAATGGCCTTTTTATGGCTTTTAGTCTTTTCACGAAGCCGATAGAAATCGTAATGTTTCTTGCTTTTACTTTTAACTGAGGTAATATTTTAGCTTTTTCGTCATGAACAAAAAGTTAAATTCTAAAATCAACTTTTGCAAACATGTCACAAAACCAAGCGAAGGCCAAGAACCACCTTATTTTCAATCTTGTCACGAAAAAGCTTATCGCGGTCAAAATATTTTGTACGTGGGATATTGACGTTTTAGTGTGTTTCGCTGTTAAGACAGCAAAACGTTCTTACACCCAACGAAGCGAATCTTGTTTGAACACTGGGGATTTCCCAAATTTTAATTGGGGCATATAGGACTCTATAGTGCGGCGTATTTTGACCATTCGAACGCATAGCGAAAATATTTGAGGGATTATAAAGAGGAATAACGCCGTATTAAAATGATAGTAATAAGTTTTTAAATAATAAGTTTATTTAATGCATCTTAAGAATAAAAATACAAAAATATTCCGCTCGTTAAAGTTGTACACTTTAAATCGCGTTTGTTAGCCGCATTTCCTACTTTTCCTACTGTACCTCTATTACTTCTATTCCTCTGTTCCTCTGTT